TTTCTTTTTCTAGCTTCTTCAGGTGGAATTTCAGGTCATTGGATTAAACCCTTTTAATTTTCTAATAAAAGTGTTTAGAGTTATACATTGACCTATATGTACTGTAAATAGATGGGAAAACATACTCCCAAGCTAATAGTGACAGTAAAAAGTCTAGAGTAATGTCATATCAATATTCTAAAATAGACTTCAAGACAAAATATAACCTGTCTATTTCCTGAGTAGTGATGAAACTACAATACATAAAATACATGGAATCCAACTGAAACAGTACATATAGGTCAATGTATAACTCTAAACACTTTTATTAGAAAATTAAAAGGGTTTAATCCAATGACCTTTTTTTAAAATTTTTACTTGTTTAATAAGCTCTTCTTAAAGCATGATGCCCTTTATTTTTAAAGTGTATTTCTGCAAGAGTCAGCATACATACTGTAGTTGGGGTTTGCTTTATTTATTCAACTGGGCAATTTCATTCTGTTAATTGACATGCATAGTCTATTAACATTTAATTTATTAATATTGGTGGATTTACTCTATCAATTTATTATTTGTTTTTTTCTTTGATATTTCTATTTTTGGCTCTTTTGTTCCTTCTTTTTAGCCATCTTTAGACTAACTGAATATTTTTACAAATTCAATTTTTAATTTAGCCACTGGCATTTTAGCTATATCTTTTTGCATTATTTTTAAAACATTTGCTCTTGGAATTATAATATATTCTTAACTTTTTATGCTGTGCCTAAAAGTGATATTTTACTACTTTACATAAAATGTAAGATTTAAGTGGTTCCTCAAACAGAAAAACATGCCTTTAAGAATCTTAAGAGCATGCCATGTAAATCCTTATTTTTAAACATAGAATTTTTAAAGACATGGACCTATAGTAGCCCTGCAGCAGCTCAAGGTAGAAAAGGGATTAATCTGATCAGATTTGTGGATGTAGCTTTTTTCTGATAGAGTAAACTACTCAACATCTTTAAGAGAATTTCACTGTTGGAAACATCAGCAACTTGGACTCAAAAAAGATGGATTTAGTTAACAAAATAAAATGAAAAGAGGCCTTTGAACTACTAAATATATTGGGCAGAAAGCAAGCTGCCCAAGAGATATATGCTCTTTGCTTCATAATTTTGTCTAGGTTAGTTCTGAATAGAGCAATAGTAGGTATAATTAAGATTAATCCTAGAAATGTCTCATATTTTACTTTCTGAACTCTATAATTGAAGGCACATTTTAAAGCCTAATAATTTGACAATTTAAAGTAGACCGCATAGAATATGACACTGATTAATTCATTTGAGGAGACAATATTTCAATTTCCTTAATAAGTGTTTTTACTAGATATATAATAACAACATCTATAAATAAATAATGATGGACATACTAGCTATAATTATAAACATCAGAACAGCATTTTAAAAGTTTCAGAATTGTCTAATAACATTTACTAATTTTGGGTGCTTAGAATCCTGCTTTTGGAGAGCCTACTAATGAGAAACTTAATGAACAACAAATCTGTTACATATCTTCTTGTGAAAATTAGAAATATCCATTAATTCAATAAAATTAAGAAGGGAATAGTTACATATGGAATACTAATTATAAAGTAAATTTTTGATTTCAATGAAAATGTTCACAGTCTTTTTGGAATATGTCTGAAACATTTGCTAAAACCATTTTTCTTCTCCTGGTGGTGACAGCCAGACTGTTTACGCTTATGACATATAATTTTCCAGACACTCTTTTTAGAATGCTCAATAATATCATTTGGATATAGATCAAGGCATGTGCAGATGCTGAAGCCCTACTCAAAGCTGCATAACAAATAAGAAACCTCATAAAAGTGTCCTTTTGCAATTCATATTTTTAAAAGATAGTCAGTTATCTAGGTGAAATGATAAAGTATAAGCAATAGTTTAATTTAAAAAAATTATACCCATGTGCTATCTCTTTATGTGCAGAATAAACTAAAGACCTGAGGCAACTTTTATGGGTAATTAAGATTAAGCAATATTATTGAATTGAAACATATGTATATATATCTAAGTAGTTTAAATTATGGAGCATTGCCTCAGGTATTCTTGTTATGTAGAATGTAAGTATTAGAGTTTTTAGGGTGTGCTTGTACATGTGTCTGTGTATGTAGCATGTGTAGCAAATCCAGAAGGAATGTTGTAAAGGGTGTTACTTACCTGAGATTTGGCCTTACCATCGGAATCTTTACTCTATGTCAACATACCCAACCAAGAGTCTATATCAGGGTTTCTTATCCTCAGCACTATTGACATTTCAAGCTTTGTCGTGTTGGGCTAAACTGTGTATTGATGTGATGCTTAGCATCATCCTAATCTACACTCACCAGAGGCCAAGAGAAACCTTCCTTTGCAGTGACAACCAAAAATGTCCCCAGATATTGTTAAACGTCTCAATTGAGGGATGGGAAGGTATCAAAATTGTACCTGGTTGAGAACCACTGCTTTCTACATATTGCTGTTATAATCTGCACTTTCTGGGAAGAGTTTATAAGGGCAGCTAAACACAAGAAAGAACCATTGTACTTTCTCTAGTATATTATCAAGAAGTTAATTAGAATCTAGAAGATAATATAAAATCATTCCCTTTTTTTTCCATCAAGTTCTCAAATTTTAGTTCATGAAAGGTTAGCCTCAGTGAGCAGCTGGAAAATTATTCTATCATTCGGTTGTAGTCAAAACTGGGAACCCTTGCCGGGATGCATGCTAAGAGGAGTACATTGGATTCTTACTTCCTTCAGACTGGAAAACCTATAAGACAAATACAACTTGATTTTTAAAAATATTGATCACCTCTTCTTCCACTGGTTGTGTGTAATTTTATGCTGAAGCAATAATTTGTCCTTAGAGATGAAGATTGGTAAAGTGGAAGGAAATGAAGAAGTTAATATATCCTATCATTCCACATAAAAATAATTAGTAGGGATCTTTTTTATTTTGATAGGCTAGATCAGGAGTCGGCAAAATTTTTCTCTAAAAAAACCAGATAATAAATATTTTAGGATTTGTAAATCATATGGTCTTTACAACAACTACTCAAATTTGCTATTGTAGCACAAAAGCATCCACTGACAAATAGACATGGTTATGTATCATTAAAGCTTTATTTACTAAAGAAATATCAGCTGGATCTGGCCTGTGGATTTTAACTTTACTTAGAATATTAGCAATAGTTTTCATCTTTTGTTCTTCCTTGATCTCACATTCCTCCTTTTCTTCCAATGGTAATCACTATGCAAATTTCTGTTTAGTTATAGGTAAATGTGTATCATTCATTTGCTTTTTAAAAATAGTTTTATAACAAATGTGCATATGATAGATATTACATTGTTTAATTTTCCTTGGTTTTGAGCTTTCTAAAATTAAACTCTTGTAAGAGTTACTGTGAAAACATGATAAATTATGAAAGCATTTTCAAGAGCTGTTATTGTTGATGATATAAATTAGTTAGTAGTACAGATGGTCTCTGACTTTCAGTGGTTTGACTTATATAATTTTTTGACTTTAGGATGAGTCTATTGAGATGCAACCCTATTGTAATTCAAGGAGTATTTATAATTGCATAACTATATCTTTGCATTTGGTTTCCTTCTACTGTTCACTTTAGCTTAGTGCACCGTCTGAGCGATGGACATGCCTGAAACTCTGACTTGGGTGGGGCAAAGGCAATATACATAACCTAAACATTTGTACCCTCGTAATATACTGAAATAAAAAAAATAAAAAAAACTGAATAAATTTTTAATAAGTATATTGAAGGAATAATAATCACAATATAGTGAGATGATTTTTTACTGAAATTCAATTCATTCATAAGATATTCCTATATCAAATCAGCAAAAAGAGGAAGAACCCAAAGGGTCAAATCCTGACTCACTTTTTTTTCTCTAGAAATTATTCATCTTTTCCTTTTTCAGTTAACCTCCCCCACTCTCAAGCGGAGAGTGCCTCAGTTTAGTACCTAATCAAGCTCATGGGTAGCAGCTGAGGCCATTGAAGTTGATTTTTTGGGAAATTGAATATTCAGGAATAGTATAAAATTGAACACAAGACCATAAAACTACTCAATGCATTTACTGTCAAATATAAAATATAATTTCTATTTAGTTATAACTAGCTGCAAAAGGCCATACTACCAATGGCAAAATGTTAGGCATTACAAAAGTGAAAACTTATAAATCAAATGTAATTGATGTAAAAAAATATGGGGCCACAATGGAGTGCTAACGCTCCCTGAATGACAACTTTAAATAACTTCTCTAAATTGGCCTGTTGCCATAGGGTTAATAACAGCTCCATAACTATGGATGGGTAATTTTACAGCCTTTCCACATTCTGTCTGCAGCATTTAATGTGATTTCTGTTTTAGGGCTCTGATCTCCTGGCTGTGAATAAGTAATGTGAATGCATAAATAGATTTTAACAAAAGTATAAAATAGCATGTGGCAAATTAGAAGATTCATTGGGGAAGGGTTGGAGGGTCATGCAGATTGTTAATGGTTCTAAAAACAATTTTCATTCAGCTAATTCATTTCTTGACTTGTTTTCCAAAAGAGCTCAATGTGTAATCATTTCTCAAGGTCTGTTTTCTAAAATATTAGCCTTAAAAGAAGAAGGATAATTTTCCTTGTTAAGTCTAATTCTGAAACATTTTCAGGCTAAGTCAGAGACAAAGAGAGATTTTGCATAGTGCTCTTTAGGAAAAAAAATCTGCTTTTTGCTTTCTTCTTTTCAGCAAGAAGAAAATCAAATATATTTGTAATGTGACTTTAAGAATTGTGAAAAACACCCTTTGTCTTTAGTGGAGATGTCTATACAAGGACTCTTGGGTCTGGTATTGGTACTGACTTTGCTATAGGTCAGCCAGGCTGGCTGTTGGGATGGAGTGTAGGACATGAAGTAGGTAAGAGCAAGAACAAACCAGAAACTCAGTTGCTCTTTTATCACCTCTAACTCATCTTACAGATGATATGGGTGACCTGTAAGAGTAGCTGGTGCCCTTTGCCATAGAGCTGCACGCACACCTGGCCCAGCTTATCGAGAAGCAGAAGGAGAAGATCCAGTGGAATCTGGAGATACTGTAGGCCTGGCTGTTAACCCCTTCCTATGAGATACGCTTGGAGAAGATCAGCAATAAGGTGTGTGAGTTGCTATATCACCTGGTACTCTTATATCAACCTGCAAAGTGGAAAAAAGGGAGGGAGGAAGGGAGGGAGGGAATGAAGGAAGGGAGGGAAGGGAAGGAGGGAGAGAGGGAAGGAAGGAGAGAAAAGGGAGAGAGAAATGAAAGGAAAGGAAGGAAAGGGGTCTATCTCTCACTTCTATTTCCCAAATATCATGCAGATTTCTACTGTGGCCAACCCCAGCTAGAACCATGCAAGAAGGAAATTCTAGGAAATGTAGTAACAGCTTTTCTAAAATTGATACAGTAGAAAACCACCACAGTTCTAATCAGTAAACTTTGATTTCTTTTAAGTTTTATCAGCAAGAGACAAAGTTAAGTGCAAGACTTTAAAAAGAACATTATTTCAATGTGATTTTGTCAAGTATAAAACCCAATGAAAATGACAAATCCCATGTGATACAGCTAATTATGTTCTTGCACGTAAAAATGTAGTACTTTCAAAATTTAAAAGACATTTGGGAACACAGTCTGTGAAACTTACTAAGTATTTTCAAGGAAAGAAGAAAGTATTCTTTGGGGCAAATATTTTTTCTTTTGCGTAATTTTTGTTTCATGTGTGTGTGCATGCATTTTTTAAAGTAAATTGTGTTTCTTTTACAGAGGATAACAAATCAGCAAAATAACATGATTAACAAAAAAATTGTGGGTAGCAAAAGAATAAGGGAAGGAGAATAGAGGCATAAAAATGCATGGTGAGTTTATTGTGGCTAAATTTAAATTTGTGTAGGGTTGGATGCAGTAGTGGAAGAATGAGGAAAGAGAATTGGCCTTTGGGAGTAGCTTATGACCGAGGACAGAAATTACCATGGGAGGTTGCCCCACAACAGTGAGAGACTTCCAGGTCTTCAATGCAGCACAGCTCAACTCCTTGTGTAGAACATAAGCAAGGTCTGCTGTGGAGATGGCCACAACTCCTGCTGTTAAACAGAGTTGGCAGTGAGTGTGTGATTATTTCTATGGGAGTAGGAGAATGTTACCATTCTGTCTACTCTATTTATTTTATTTTATTTTTTTTAAATTATGCATGGTAAAATGGAAATAAAGGGAAGTATATATTATTACTTTCAAGGTACTCTGTCTCACAGGGTGTGAGAAAGTTAAGACCTAGAAAAATCACCATAACATATAAATTTTTTGTGGCAATTCTTGCTTGTTATGACAAGAGCTTTATTGACCTAATGTCTTTGGGAAAGATATAGGGTCTGGAGTCAGCATTAGGGTTCAAGACCTTGCTCCATCTCTAGCCATGTGATCTTTAACTCATTAAGTAATGGACTGGTAAAGGAAAATGTTAAGATAATGTAAGAAAAAATAAAAGCAAAAAAGAATTAAAGTACAGGGGCTCAGATTACATGGGATTGAGATTTATGTTTCTCTCATATAGCAGTCCAGATGAAGGTTATAATCTAAATGGGAGGAATCTCCACTCCAGGAGGTCATCAAGGTCCAACTTCTTCCTATCTTGTGGTTCCATTATCCCCTCGATTGCTGTCTTCATTCAAAGATTGAATCTGATACCACCACCACATCCACTTACAGCCTGCATAATGGGAGAGGGGGCAAATGGAGGGGAATGGGCTTTAATGACATGACCCAGAGGTTGCACACTTCAGTTCTACTTACAAACCAGTGGCCAGGACTTATTCAAATGGAAATATAATCTCTAGCCTGGTGCCAAGTGCCCTGCTAAGCCTTGGGAGGTTATATTAAAACGAAGGAGAATGAAGAAATATTTGGAAAGCTGTCTCCATCAGTAGTAAGGGAATGAATACCTTAGTTTTGGTATTGGTTTTTGGTTTCTTAACCCATGAAATTACTATTGATTTCAGTTTCTTAACCTATGAAATGGGAATGAAATCCTATTTAAGAGGATAACTATCAGAAATACATGAGAATACATATACAAGCATACCTTACTGTATTGTGCATGGCTTTATTACACTTTACAGATATCGTGTTTCTAACAAATTGAAGGTTTCTGGCAACCCTGCTTTGATAAAGCCTGTTGGCACCATTTTTCCAACAGTATGTTCTCACTTTGTGTCTCTGTGTCACATTTTGGTAATTCTCACACATTTTAAACTTACTGCACCTGTTATGGTGATCTGTGATGAGTAACCTTTGATTTTACCATTGTAATTGTTTTGGGGCACCACGAAGTACACCCATATAAGAAAACAAACTTAATCTATAGATGTTATATGTATTCTGACTGTTCTACCAACTGGCATTTCCCCATCTCTCTCTCTCTTTGAGCATCCCAATCTCTGAGACAAAACCATATTGAAATTAGGCCAATTAATAACCTCACAGTGGCCTCTAAGTGTTCAAGTGAAAGGAAGAGTTACATATCACTTCCTTTAAATTAAAAGCTAGAAATGATTAAACTTAGTTAGGAAAGCATGAGAAAGCTGAGATAGGGTGAAAGCTAGGCCTTTTGTACCAAATAGTTAGCCAAGTTGTGAATGCAAAGGAAAATCTCTTGAAGGAAATTAAATGTGCTACTTCAGTGAACACATGGATGTTAAGAAAGCAAAACAGCCTTATTGGTAATGTGAAGAAATGTGTAATGGTATGGATAAAAGGTTAAATCAGCCACAACAGTCCCTTAAGCCAAAGCCTAGTCCAGAGGTAGGTTCTAACTCTCTTCAATTCTATGAAGGCTGAGAGAAGTGAGGAAACTGCAGAAGAAAAGTTGAAGCTAGTGAATGTTGATTCATGAGGTTTAAGAAAAGAAGCTGTCTCCATAACATAAAAATGCAAGGTAAACTAGCAAGCCCTGATCTAAAAGCTGTAGCAAATTATCCAGAAGATCTAGCTAACATAATTGATGAAGGTGGCCACCCTAAGCAACAGATTTTCAATGTAGATGAAACAGCCTTCTATGGGAAAAGATGCCATATAGGACTATAATAGCTAAAGAGAAGTCAATGCTTTGCTTCAAAGATTCAAAGGACAGGCTTACTCCCTTGTTAGGAGCTAATGCAGCTGGTGACTTTATATTGAAACCAATGTTCATTTACCATTCTGAAAATCCTAGGGCCGTTAAAAATTATACTAAATTGGCTCTGTCTGTGCTCTAGAAATGGAACAAGAAAGACTGGATGACAGCACATCTGTTTATAGAATGGTTAACTGAATATTTTAAGTCCATGCTGAGACCTACTGCTGAAGAAAAGATTCCTTTCAAAATATTACTGATTGACAATGCACCTGATTACCCAAAAGCTCTGATGGAAGTGTACAAGAAGAGTACCATTTTCATGCCTGATAACACAATATCCATTCTATAGTCCATGGATCAAAGAGTAATTTCACCTTTCAAATCTTTTAAACATTCATTTCATAGGGTTATAAGTGCCATAGACAGTGATTCCTCTGATGGATATGGGCAAATTAAATTGGAAACCTTCTGGAAATGATTCACTGTTCTATTATAGATACTGTTGGGAACATTCACAATTCCTGGGAGGAGATCAAAATAACATTAACTGGAGTTTGAAAGAAGTTGATTCCTACCCTTATGGATGACTTTAAGGGATTTAAGACTTCAGTGGAGGAAGTAACTGCAGATGTGGAGCAAGAGAATTAGAATTGGAAGTGGAGCCTGAAGATGTGAATGAATTGCTGTAACCTACTTCTTATGAATGAACAAGGAGAGTTCATTGAGATGAAACCTTGAGATTTCATTCCATTTCATCAGATGGAATCTACTCCTACTGAATATGCTGTGAACATTGTTGAAATGACAACAAAATATTTAGAATATCCCATACACCTAGTTGATAAAACAGTGGTAGGGTTTGAGAGGACTGACTTCAATTTTTAAAGAAGTTCTGTGGGTAACATGCTCTCAAGCAGCATCATATGTTACAGAGAAAGCTTTTACGAAAGGAATAGTTGATCAATGCAGCAAACTTCATTATTGTCTTCTTTAAAGAAATTTCCACAGCCACCCCAACCCCCAGCAACTACCACCTTGATCAGTTAACAACAAACAACATTGAGGTAAAACCCTCCATCAGCAAAAAGATTAGGACTTGCTGAAGGCTCAGACATTTATTACCATTTTTTAGTAATAAAGTATTTTTAAATTAAGTTACATACATTGTTTTTTAAATATACTGTTATTATACACTTAATAGATTACAGTATAGTATAAATATAACTTTTATATGCACTGGGAACCCCCAAATTTGTATGATTCTTTTTATTGGGATATTCACTTTATTGTGATAGGAACTGAACCTGCAATATCTCTGAGACATGCCTGTACTAGAAAAGTGCTCTGTAAACTGTAAAACACTAGACAATTATATTATTTTTCATTTCTACTAATAAGTTGCCATGCATGACACCTAACTCAATGTAGATGTACTGAGACTTTATGGGTAAATATTACTTATCAAAATATTGCAAGTTTAAAGTTCATGTAAAGTTTCTTTAATTTTAACTTCCTATTAACCTGAACAATACATAAATAAATTAGCCTTTCTTATATATGGAAAATCAGCCTACTAAATTTGCATTTGCCTATGCATATTTGCCTTTGCAGGTAGACTAATTGAACATTTAGAAACCTTTACAAAGTGTGTGAATTAATCTGTTTATTTATTTGTTTGATGATTTAGAAAGATAAGATATTTGATTATGTAGTTTCTACATATTTTCTTTTTTTAGGGTATTTCATATTTATTTTTATAAGAATATATATCATCCTAATAAAACCCTAGAGCATATCCTAATAAAACTCTATAACAGCTTACAAACTAAAATTGAAGGCCAGGTGGGTGGTTATTGGAAAAATATCCATGTTAATAACACACATTGAAGACTTTTTATATGCTAGACACTATACTAAGTACAGTCTGTGCATTATTGTCTTATGTCACCACAGTAAACCGTTGAAATGGATGTTATTATCCTTATTGTACTGATGAAAAAATTTAAATCTAGGGAAGATAGTGTGACTTATAGACTTTAGGAATTGCTTTGTTAACAAAGTCAGGATCTGAACTCATGTTCTTAACTACCATGATATATAATGACAAATAAGGTGTGCAGATATGTTTATTTTCCAGTCACATGATCATTCATTCCCATTCAGATTGAAATAATAGTTTATTTAGTGCTCTAGCCAGACGTTAGCTTACTTAGTACTCAAGACAGACCCCTTGGGATAAAACTCATATCATAGTAACCACTATGAAACATGAAGTAGAATTTTTCATTCATGAGACCAGTAGATACTTTTCTAGAACAAAGAGGAAAATATAACAACAGAGTGAGTCACTGGGTCCTTTCTGTGCTTCAAGGAGGAGGGCTGGTGGTAGGGAGAATAGAGCCAAAAAGCAAGTTTATGTCCTTTGCTGGCATAAGACTTAATATAAATTAGAGTTCATAACATTTCCGTTAAGAAAAACTTTTTTTAATAAATATCTTTAATAATGGCTTTTTCAAAATTTTAAATGATTTTAAGCTTTGTAGTTTAGTAAAAGGAGTGATCTTTTAATGAGTGACTGCGGTTATGAAATTTGAAAAACATTAGTGTAATCAATAGGCAACATGATGATATATATGCAAGTGAAAGGCTTTTGTCTCATTTGCAATTTGCAGCAGAAATTGATGGAGAAAATGTTGCAGCTGTTTTATGAAATAGACACAGATAGTATTATATATGATATATGTGAAG